AATATACCTGCTGAACTACTTTCGATGAGTCTTAATGCCCGAAAAACAATAAAGGGTTATAAAAGAAAAGGGGGTAAATAGTAAAGGGGGTAAATAGTAAAGGGGGTAAATAGTATTGTGAATATAAGAGGCACGGTCATGCTTGCCAGCATTGTGATACCTTATCGGACCTTATTTGGACGGACATTAAATGAACGGACATAATTATGAACGGACATTAATATGAACGCTAGAAGGCACTCAAAACCATCAAAAATCCGATTTTTTTCCATTTTTTAAGACTTTTTTTTATTTCAGAAAATGATTTTTAAATCCATTTTTTATACAGTAAGTAAGAAAAGCAGTCGTTAACAGTAAAAATCTTAAAATATGAATTCTTATAGCAAAACTAATAGTTTCGATTAATTGCATCAATTATCACATGCTGTAAAAATCTCTTCGGGTTGCTTTCGGGTGGATACTTGATTGACGTTGTCAACCCTTCCAGATCGTTGCTCTGCTTCGCAGAGCAACAACCTGTGACCGAACGTTTGAGGGGGTTCCGGACTCAAAGTTTTTCTACAAGTAAAAACTACTTTTCTCCGTGTTTTAAGCTATTTCGATCATTTTGAGCCAATTACAAAATTTTACATTTTTTCTAATTAGCTAATTGATAATTATCCAATTAACTAATTGTCTGACGTAAAAAGTGTCTTTACAACAGTTTTTCCTCCTGATAAGATGAACACCCTCGATTAATCTGCAAGCTTTTGCGATGATCAAAACTAAGGATATTCGACAAACAAGAAAGGTGGTAAAAAGTGGTAAAAGTGGCAAAAAGTGGGCGTAAGACACGTGGAAAAGTTTGGAAAAGTTGGTCAGCCATAAAGGGCACCCAATGGGACTCAAAAACGTCAAAAATCCTTCGAAAGCTTCTTGTGTCGGTCGATCGATTTTTTCAGTACTACGATCTGTCTGTACTATACTGTCCGTGATCTAGCTCGTGATGTTAAACGTGACCTTTCCTAAATCTTGACCAGATTCATGATCTTGTAATACTACAGAATACTACAGAATTCTGTAAAGAGTGATCACCGTAAAATTTACATCACGAACATCACGAACTAGATCACGGACTGTATGGTTATGCAATATTCAAATATATATTCAGATATATTCAGCTACATAACATTATCGTGGAGCTTTAGTTTAAAGACTGTAGTTTAATTGTTTCCAAGATTAGGTTTAGAAGTTTATTATAATAGTAATAAATGTATGTATATATGTATTATCTTTTATTTGCAACTAATTATCGGCAAAATATCAAAATAACATTTTAAACTTTGAACGAATTTGACTACCCTCTCCGCCATTTCCCTATTTTCTGTGATCAAGGCTTGTTTTTTTCATTGGGTCTTTCTATTCTCTAATTAGCTAGCTTTAAGTATGATGCTCCATGAACAGAGCTAACATTTTTCCAATTAATTCTTATCTGAAATATCGTATCGGAGATAATACACCTCGAATTTACATTCATATCATTTTCTAGTGACCATCATCAAATACCAACATATTCACACGTATGCGTACGGTTGTTGACTTTCCAGTAAAATGAAGCAGCAAAATGTACCAGAGTTTAAAGATGATATGAAGATGGAAGAAGATTGCATCCTACCAGAATTGATAAAGACAGATATCAAGAAAGAGGGCCTGGAAGATTACATCGTACCAGAATTGATAAAGACAGATATCAAGAAAGAGGGCCTGGAAGATTACATCGTACCAGAATTGATGAAGACAGATATCAAGAAAGAGGAAGATAATCTTGTTATTAAATCAGAAAGGTATTCGAATCCTACTTCTCAGATGCATTGTCCCATCCAAGAATCAGCATTACCTTGTCAACAGTTGGTTCATACTGATGAAAAGACTTACAAGACTGAATGTTCGTACAGTGCAAGCAAAACAACAGCTTTAGTTCTACATCAACAGATTCATACTGGTGAAAAAACTTATAAATGCTCTGAATGTTCCTACAGTGCAAGCCGAAAGAGAGCTTTAGTTTTACATCGTCGGACTCATACTGGCGAAAAAATGTACAGCTGCTCTGAATGTTCCTACAGTTCAAGCCAAAAATCAGCTTTAGTTTCACATCGACGGACTCATACTGGTGAAAAGCCATATAAATGCTCTGAATGTTCCTACAGCGCAAGCGTAAAACCAAATTTAGTTCGCCATCAGCTGATTCACACTGGTGAAAAACCTTACAAATGCTCTGAATGTTCCTACAGCTCAAGCCAAAAATCAGCTTTAGTTTCACATCGACGGACTCATACTGGTGAAAAACCATATAGTTGCTCTGAATGTTCCTACAGTTCATGCCAAAAATCAGTTTTAGTTTCACATCGACGGACTCATACTGGTGAAAAACCATATAAATGCTCTGAATGTTCCTACAGTGCAAGCAACAGATCAAATTTAGTTTGCCATCGGCGGACTCATACTGGCGAAAAGCCATATAAATGCTCTGAATGTTCCTACAGTGCAAGCCGAAAGAGAGCTTTAGTTTTACATCGTCGGACTCATACTGGCGAAAAAATGTACAGCTGCTCTGAATGTTCCTACAGTTCAAGCCAAAAATCAGCTTTAGTTTCACATCGACGGACTCATACTGGTGAAAAGCCATATAAGTGCTCTGAATGTTCCTACAGCGCAAGCGTAAAACCAAATTTAGTTCGCCATCAGCTGATTCACACTGGTGAAAAACCTTACAAATGCTCTGAATGTTCCTACAGCTCAAGCCAAAAATCAGCTTTAGTTTCACATCGACGGACTCATACTGGTGAAAAACCATATAGTTGCTCTGAATGATCCTACAGTTCAAGCCAAAAATCAGTTTTAGGTTCACATCGACGGACTCATACTGGTGAAAAACCATATAAATGCTCTGAATGTTCCTACAGTGCAAGCAACAGATCAAATTTAGTTTGCCATCGGCGGACTCATACTGGCGAAAAGCCATATAAATGCTCTAAATGTTCCAACAGTGCAAACCTAAAACCAAATGACAGTAAAAATACATATCGATCTTCTGAATGTTCTTATGATGGTTGTCATAAGTCAACTTTGGCTTTTCCAAAGCGGAACTATACCGGAGAAAACTCACACACTTTTCATGAAAAACAAAACGATAGTGTTGAAAGACCCCTTTTTGTTAAACCTATACCTTTCGTGAAGCCTCTAACATCTTTAGCTGAGTCAGCTGACTCCCTACTCTCCAGTTCCAGCTTACTTCCCGGTTCCTTCTCCAGTTACCAACCAACATCTCACTTGTCTCCCCCAGCAATAAGTGGAACAACAAATTTCTCAACAGTTAATACCACAAAAGCCGCCAAGGGGGTGGGTGGATCTTTTGACAAAATTCCAAAATGACATTTACTCTTAGTCGACGTCGAGTAGAGAACTTGGTACTTGATCCCCCCTCCCGGAGTTATAGGAAGTTAAATTCAATCTTCACTAGTCAAGTCACGGCTGTTATACTTGGAAATCACGTTAAATTAGTTTGGCTTTTTGTTTACCCTCACCGGTGATGTTTTATAATTTTGCTTACAGACTATCGTGATTGCTTGATAATTTTGTTGCAGGCTGATGCAAATTTCGACTGAGCGAGTTCATATACTTTTGCAATTTCCCGAATTTTAGGTATTTTAAGTTGGGGAATGGGGGAAAAACGTGGGAAGGCGACACAATGCACATAGGTATGTTTGGTCACTGATATCACACCTGACACCATGCAACAGGTGCGAAGTAAAGCTCAAAAGTCAAAACCGTTACCGTGGAGCTTTAGTTTGGAGAGTTCTAGTTTTAGGGAGCATCCACATATCAGTATTACTATTACGTCAGCAAGTTTTTGGCCATTGTTTGTTGTTACCCAATCCGTCAATCCGTGTTAGCAACTGTTTTCACATAGCCAATGATAGTTCGTCTGGTGCGTCGAAGTACTCCAAGGCCCATATCAGTTAAATCTTTCCAATTAATTTTAATCTGAAATGTCGATTCGAAGAGAGGATATCTCGAATTTATATTCATACTAGAAAGCCCGTGGTAACAGGGACGAAGCTAGTAGTATTCTTTGAAAGAAGGTTTTAATCGCATCAAAAAAGATCCATCCCGACCGAAGATACAGTCAATTTAAATATAAAACACTTAAAACACAACGTAATTACCACAAAACCGATCAAAATGACATTAAAACAATCTTTGCACGTGCATGTGTGCATTAAAACACCGTTGCTATGGAACCTTTTGGTTGTTACCTAAATTCCTATTTCTCATCTAATTTGCACGTGGGCGGTCGTACAGACAGACAGACGTCTACCATAGATGTGACGTTGCTAACAGGGGTAAATTGAAGCTTTGTGTGCTTTTTATTACAGCCCTGCAGTAGATTCAATGCTGTATGGGCTACAGCCGCACTGCAATGTTGTTGGCCATTAGGGGTGCCAGTCTGGGCGGTCAAGGATGTCCTAGGGTATCTCTCTTAGCTGTATCGCACAATCGCACGCGTACCCTCGGGTTTAAATAGTGTGCTCTGGGCTCGCAATTCTGTGTGGTATGGTGATGGAGGATGCCTAGGGCTAACGAAACCCCTACGCGATATAAATTCCTGCATTTCCATTGAAGAATGTGAGGTTTAGTGTCTTGTGGAGGATAACAACTATGTCAGTCCCTGTTTCGGAGTGAGCTCTGCTCCCCGTCTCACACAAGCGCTGGTGCAACCAACCCTTGACATGATCACTTTCCTGCAATGGAAACCGGGACCTGTATGCTGTGACTCTTACCTAGTTAGTCCCCGACTACTAGCGCAGTCCAGACAGGGCAACTGCAGTAATGTAGTTGCATTTATCATACAACAACAACAACAGCAGAAATAATTCTTTGAATTATAGTAGAGATTATTGTTTAGCGATGATCATCAAAGGCTAACATCTCTACACGTAGGGTAATTTACTTTCCGAAAAATGGAACAGCGAAATGCACCAGAGTTTAAAGATGATATGAAAATGGAAGAAGATTGTGTCCTACCAGAGTTGATAAAGACAGAGATCAAGAAAGAGGGCCTGGAAGATTGCAACTTACCAGAATTGATAAAGACAGAGATCAAGAAAGAGGGCCTGGAAGATTGCAACTTACCAGAATTGATAAAGTCAGAGATCAAGAAAGAGGAAGATAATCTTGTTATTAAAACAGAAAGGTATTCGAATCCTACTTCTCAGATGCATTGTCCCATCCAAGAATCAGCATTACCTTGTCAACAGTTGGTTCATACTGATGAAAAGACTTACAAGACTGAATGTTCGTACAGTGCAAGCAAAACAACAGCTTTAGTTCTACATCAACAGATTCATACTGGTGAAAAAACTTATAAATGCTCTGAATGTTCCTACAGTGCAAGCCGAAAGAGAGCTTTAGTTTTACATCGTCGGACTCATACTGGCGAAAAAATGTACAGCTGCTCTGAATGTTCCTACAGTTCAAGCCAAAAATCAGCTTTAGTTTCACATCGACGGACTCATACTGGTGAAAAGCCATATAAATGCTCTGAATGTTCCTACAGCGCAAGCGTAAAACCAAATTTAGTTCGCCATCAGCTGATTCACACTGGTGAAAAACCTTACAAATGCTCTGAATGTTCCTACAGCTCAAGCCAAAAATCAGCTTTAGTTTCACATCGACGGACTCATACTGGTGAAAAACCATATAGTTGCTCTGAATGTTCCTACAGTTCAAGCCAAAAATCAGTTTTAGTTTCACATCGACGGACTCATACTGGTGAAAAACCATATAAATGCTCTGAATGTTCCTACAGTGCAAGCAACAGATCAAATTTAGTTTGCCATCGGCGGACTCATACTGGCGAAAAGCCATATAAATGCTCTGAATGTTCCTACAGTGCAAGCCGAAAGAGAGCTTTAGTTTTACATCGTCGGACTCATACTGGCGAAAAAATGTACAGCTGCTCTGAATGTTCCTACAGTTCAAGCCAAAAATCAGCTTTAGTTTCACATCGACGGACTCATACTGGTGAAAAACCATATAGTTGCTCTGAATGATCCTACAGTTCAAGCCAAAAATCAGTTTTAGGTTCACATCGACGGACTCATACTGGTGAAAAACCTTACAAATACTCTGAATGTTCCTACAGTGCAAGCAACAGATCAAATTTAGTTTGCCATCGGCGGACTCATACTGGCGAAAAGCCATATAAATGCTCTAAATGTTCCAACAGTGCAAACCCAAAATCAAATGACAGTAAAAATACATATCGATCTTCTGAATGTTCTTATGATGGTTGTCATAAGTCAACTTTGGCTTTTCCAAAGCGGAACTATACCGGAGAAAACTCACACACTTTTCATGAAAAACAAAACGATAGTGTTGAAAGACCCCTTTTTGTTAAACCTATACCTTTCGTGAAGCCTCTAACATCTTTAGCTGAGTCAGCTGACTCCCTACTCTCCAGTTCCAGCTTACTTCCCGGTTCCTTCTCCAGTTACCAACCAACATCTCACTTGTCTCCCCCAGCAATAAGTGGAACAACAAATTTCTCAACAGTTAATACCTTGTCAATTACAGCTGATTCATACTGATGAGAAGTCTTACAAATGCTCTGAATGTTCGTACAGTGCAAGCCGAAAACACAATTTAGTTCGTCATAAGCTGATTCACACTGGTGAAAAGCCTTACAAATGCTCTGAATGTTCCTACAGTGCAAGCCAAAAGAGAGCTTTAGTTTTACATCGACGGACTCATACTGGTGAAAAGCCATATAAATGCTCTGAATGTTCATACAGTACAAGCGTACAACCGAATTTAGTTCGCCATCAGCTGATTCACACTGGTGAAAAACCTTACAAATGCTCTGAATGTTCCTACAGTGCAAGCGTAAAACCCAATTTAGTTCGTCATCAGCTGATTCACACTGGTGAAAAACCTTACAAATGCTCTGAATGTTCCTACAGTGCAAACCAAAAGATAGCATTAGTTTTACATCGGCGGACTCATACTGGCGAAAAACCATATAAATGCTCTGAATGTTCCTACACTGCAAGCGACAGATCAAATTTAGTTTTGCCATCGGCGGACTCATACTGGTGAAAAACCATATAAATGCTCTAAAAGTAAATGTTCCAACAGTGCAAGCCTTAAACCAAATGACAGTAAAAATACATATCGATCTTCTGAATGTTCTTTTATTGGTTTTCATAAGTCAATCTTATAGCTGCAGGAACTGGACGAAGTTTTTAACTCAAATCAAATTTAATGATCAAAGCCAAAAGCTGATGTAAAAGGTTTTGTAAAAGGTTTTGTAAAGTGAAATTAGTTTCTTATTTTCATAGTTAATATTCGGGTTTTATCAAGTTTTCGAGCAACTATTACATGTAAGACCTAACCTTCATTTGGATATTTAAAAGACAAATTAAATACACACAAGGGTTTACGGTAAAGTAAATCGGGGTTTACTGTAGGAATCAGTAAAACCGCAATTTACCTTACCGTTAATCCCGGTTTACCGTACAGCCCATACTCATAGGGAGTTTAAGCAGACTGAAACTATTAATATTATATCGTTAAATTCGCTGATAATGATGATACTCATACATTGTACACTGTGTTCATACTTCAATTTAAAGCCGCATACAGTTCAGTGTGTTGATAAGAACACAACTGATACGAAAGCGAGTGAATTTGTAACGTTACTAGAATAGACTGTGCATGCAACTGTCGGAAAATCTATATATTCGAGAGTAGGTTGAACAATTAATACCAGATTATACGAGTAAGTTCTTTATTTCAAAGTTAAAGTCATAAAATAAGCACAAGAATCGCATAAATATACTTGATTATCTAATCGATTGTGATAATTTTCTTGCTTGAATCATTTAAGTTGTCAAATAATTTAACGTTCTATTCGTTGTCGTGAGCTTTTAAAACCAATACTTATAAATGTAAAACTAAAAGAGTACGAAGTTCAAGATTAAATGTAAATTTATTCATTATTTGATACAACAATCTGTTTGTAGTGATACTGTAAATACTAAATTGTGAAATTGTGAAATGAAATATAAGGTCAAAATATCAAATCTGTATATAAATATTAGTGAAGCTAACAAAAAAGCAGTAGAATTCCTGCAGTCCAAGTAATTGGTATATACTATTGGTTCATTTAAAAACACAAATTCAAACTAAAATGTGGTCTAAGTTTCAGTTTCCATAATTATTAATTTATTTCTGATAGGTGTGGATTCTTGTGTGGAGGCATATTGACAGTGATTCTGGGGTTTGAATTTCATCAGTCAATAGTGGATGCTGATTGGTTAATTGCTGTCACGCGTCAAAACAATATGCCTCACTTCCCCACCAGAATCTACATCTATTAAACCTAAGTTGAAATTGTCGTCGTGATAGTATCAGCCATGATGTCCCTTTTATTTGCCTAAGTCTTCTTATTCCTGAGAAGAAATGAAGAAATATATTAGAATTATTAATTCTTCTTCCAGTCGTTTATGAATTAAACACAAATTACTTATATAACTCAAACTTCAGTTAACATTACAGCCTCACCCAGTTCGAAGGTTGTTGCGATGTCTGTTGTACATCTTTGTCCGGAAAAACTTTCTAATGCTCTTCAAAGTAAGCACATGCAAATTGATCACAATCTGAAGGAACAGCAAAAAGTCGGCTAGTCTGTATAAGTGGTGGTTGAATTCTTCTTCGGAAATGTGTAATTCTATGATTTGGTAAACAGCAAATGGAAGGAAGGAGATGCAAGACCCTTTTCCACTTCAGACTTTCTCCACGCTTGCTAACGATCTCTTTAGCCATGATTATCATTTGAATTGTGGTTGTAACAACAATACAGTTTAGAATAGAGATAAATATGGCTGTTGTCAACGTCCTAATCCGACGCCAAATATTTCTACTCAAAACAAAGTCGCAACCATAACCTTTGTATGAAAAGCAAATTTCCCATTCATAATCAAGGATCAGGGTCGTCACTAGGCCGATCGAAGCTATCAACCAAAACGCTCCACAAATCTGATGTATGGTCTTCAACGTAACTGTCGACGACTGGAGGGGGTATTTGAGGAGAAGCAGCAGGACCGAAGGCATAGCGCAAACAAGAGACAGGATGACTCCATACAAGTAATACCTACCGAGACAACACGCTGTACACAGGACGTTGCCTAGCAACCATCTATCAGCAATGAGGGAGGTAACCTTCGGAAGTATGGATACCACACAGATCATTAAGTCACATACAGCAATGTGTTGGATGATAGCTAGGAGGACCTTGTCAAGTCGGATGGCCCTGTACTTGACGGATATAATCAGAATGAATGTGTCCCCGACAAGAGATGAACAGAGAATCACTAAGAAATACACAGACCACGTGTATCTCATCACATCACTTTTAATGGAGTGCAGAGTTCCGTTACTGTAATCATATTCCAGGGTCGTCATTGTGCTACGGGTTTCCAGGAATATTAATATTATTAAACAGAAGTTTTACGTTATCTCTCTGTGGCCAATTCGTAATCAGTTTTCTGTTTTACACATTGACATAGCTACCGTAAAGTTATACAAGCGTTAGGGGTCGGTCACATATTACGTAATCAGCTGAGGGGGGGGGGGGGGGGGGGGTTTCCGAATGATTACGCTAGTGTAATTTTGACACAATAGCTATGTGTAAAACTGATTACGGAGGGGGGAAGGGGGGGGGGGGGGGGGGGGGGTAAAAATGTTCCAAAAAATGATTACGTAATATGTGAACGACTCCTTACCACCTAGAAACCCCCCCCCCCCCCCCCCCCCTTCAGTGATCACATAATATGTGAATTGAGAACTACCCCTAACACCTAAGTAGAAAGTAATACAATCGCAAATTGAATAAACGGAAACCTAGGTGGCACTAATTTAAATTAAACACAACGTATCGACCACAAAATACATATCAATTACTGATCTAGATTGGGATAAATTAAAAGCAAAAGATAAAAATACACCTTATCAAGAATTCCTGACTAAATCAAAATGAATTGCCATAGTCACGGCAGATATTATTCAACTGATAGTGATATAAACATGTTGTAAATGTAATAATATGGGGGACTAAACATAATTTAGTCAATCAATCACAGTCTGCTTGTCCTAATAATTGAGTATAGTAGCTCAATTTAACATCAAATTTAGGGTTTTCTAGAAAAAGCATCCAGACAAGTCTCACGAGTGGAGTTGTTGAATAAATGTATTACACCCTGGTCATTAGGAAATTTCGCACGAGATGGACCATGACCCGATCACGTTTTTCCAATTTATCTTTAGAAGATTGTCACAGCTAGGAAGAACTTTTAAGATATATAATAGGCATGTTGATGTATGAATTATAATGGTTATATGATTAAGGGTCTTACTAATGACCAGGGTTATCATTGTCTTTCGTTATCGTAAACCTTTCACGAGATAGCATTTATAAAAAAATTCCTATGTCAATGTGAACTGATAGGTTTTTTACCATCTCCCGAACATGATTGTTTGTTACATTTAAAGGACCAGTTAACTGAAAAATTTGTAGTCTCCAATTTGGCTAAGATTTAAATCAGCTGTGACAAACTGGTAAAGAATCGTATCGCCGAAAGAACCAACTCTCTAGCGTACGTGTAACGCGTGTTATTGCAATAATAAGCTGTGGCCTCGTGACGTCATAAAGTCCCTCAGTGCGCGCTTGCATAGCGTAATTTACATTACAAATGTTTATCATCGTCAATAAAACACATGTAACTCACTCAAATTTTAGAATTATGACTATTACCCTAGTTCTCCAAAATCCTTATAGTTTTGGCTATCATCCTAACTAAAGGAATAGCTGATTGGATGTACAGTGCTCACGTCATGATTTTAAACAGTGATATAGGTTCTTGAACAGTGGCGGGTGAATGTACGGTTAGAAAGTTTCTGCTATTACAACTTATGTCATATGTGATAATTTTGGATTGTTTTCATTGCTTAATTACACAAGCAGGGAGACTGTACCGATTATTTTTCCCCAGTC